CCCGGCTTTCCCTGGGGAGCGGAGGTCGTTCCTTACCGTTACAGCACGCCCAGTGCCCCGGGACGGGGCGCCGCGGAGGGGGTTGCAGGTCAGCCTCAGGGAGGCTTTCCCGAGGGGACCGGGGAAACCGCAGGCACCGTCGGGGAACTGGCACCGGCCCGCACTTCGCAGCCGCGGCCCAGCTCCGTGCCCAAAGCAAAGGTCCGGGACGCCGGACTCGAGCCGCCTGGCTTCCAGAGGGACAATCCCCGTATGCAAAGGTCGGCGCTGAAGCGCGGCGCTGGGCTGTTTTGTGTGCCCCCCTCTCTTCACTCTTTCACCCGTATTAAAAAAAGCCCCAAACCACACAAAACCCAACAACTTTTGGTTGAGGTGTGACCTGAAAAGTACACCGCGCCCCCGCCAGCGGGGCTGCAGCAAGGTAAGGTGCCTCAAAGTGTCCCGGGGCCGCGGGCATAAGGCAGGGGCTGGTGTGGAGGGATGGAAACCCGGTGTTTCCCGAAGGGTTCCCAACGCCACCTGCTGTTCCTTTCTCCCCGGGCCTGACGGGGACTGTCCCTTGCACTTCCAGCACCCAAGGTCTGCGATGCCTGCAAAAACAGAAATGAAGACGATAACGACATCGTGGAAAACCTCTGCAAAAACGACTTTGGTAAGTGGAAGCAGAGCTCCTCTCGGTTGAAACTTGAGAGCTGAGGATCAGGTAAAGCTCCCAGTGGAGTCAGTATGTGCCAGTATGGAGGGATGTGCCTGGATAAACATAGGGCTTTGTCTTGTCTGCAGATGGACCTGTCTGACCACTGGGTCATGAAACATAGAATTCCACCTTGGAGTAGAAAGTGGTCCCTTTTATAGTCCTTTTCTGTTCGCTGTTTCAAAGTAGTGCTCATTATGTGGATGTTGCTGGCAAGCCGAGTAGAAAGTAAAATTGGAAAAAAAAAAAAAAAAAAAAAAGAATCTTTCATCCAGACTATTGCCTGGGGAGAAGTAGAGCAAAGCTTCATTTAGACATATGAGAAAGAGCTGCATGACCAATCTCATGTATCGCAAGAAAGACTCTCCCCGCAGATTAAGAATGAAGCTCTATATATCATTTGACAGAGAAGGTAATGCACAGACAATTGGGGATATAAACTTAATGGGAAGATCTGGGGTTAGAAGAGGACAAGAAAGCCCCTTCGACACAGACAACTGAACAGTGCATTATCCACACATTAGCATTTCAAGAGAAAAAGGGAATAAGGAGGGGAATCCTTTTATAATAGGTCAACGTTTATACCTGGAAACAGATTTGTAATATAAATATCTGCAACAATTCAAAAGTCTTTCTTAAAAAAGAAAACCCAAAACCCAAGATCCAACAAAAAACCCATCACCCCAAACCTGAAACCATGACTGTGGGACATAATTGGTAAAACAACCAATAGCTTTGGCCTGGCAAATTGCACTCAGATAAATCCTTCTAAACCTAAACATGCCCCACAGATTCTTACAGAGCCTTGTATCCCCCTCCTAGTTATTTTACCAAATCAAATGCAGCTGTTGGACCAATTTGCCCTCCATGGGATCTATTCTTTCAGAAAAACAATGCATGTGAAATATTATTTCCTTACAGGTTTGCCTAAAATCGTCTCCAGCCTAATAAATTAAGTTTAGAAGTTTTCAGCTGCAGCAGAGATCAGGTTTCAGATTAGGTTTAGGTACTTGCCTCCCCACTTCCCCTTCAAACTCTATTTTCAGGAAGACTGTCCTCTCCCAGCACAAAAAGCAGAGTTCTGCTTAACGTAGCCATCTTGCCCTGTCTCTGTTTGCAAACAGGACAAAAGCTGGAGAAAATATTAATTTAGAAAGGAAGGAAAAAGGGGGGGAGGGGGTAGAGGAGAAAAGAAACTCAAAAAACCTCAACCCTAAGGTTGATTCAAACTGAAATGACTTGCATGCCCTTTGTGGCTTTAGAAATGGAGCCACCTGCTGCCTCTTCTGTCAGCCCTGACAGTTTAATTAGCAATAGAGCACCTCCCTCCCCAGGTCCTCTTTATGTGCGCTAATGGGAAAAAAACTCTCAATCTTTCTCCCTCTGCCTGCTTCCCCCTCCCCTCTCTCTATTAGCCTTGAAGATAAAAGTGAAGGAGATTGCCTACATCAATGGGGATACCAAGATCACCCCTGAAACAAAGAGCAAAACCATCTACAAGCTGAATGGGCTGACGGAAAGGGATCTGAGGAAGATCGTGCTCTGGCTCAAAGGTGGCCTCCAGTGTACCTGCGATGAGATGAACGACATCAATGTCCCCTACTTGGTGATGGGGCAGAAGCAAGCTGGGGAACTGGTGATCACGTCTCTGAAGCGGTGGCAGAAAGGGCAGCGGGCTTTCAAGCGGTTCTCCCGCAGCATCCGCAAACTGCAGTGTTAGTGGCTTTCAGCGGCAGCCACCTCTGCCCCGAGCTCTCCAGGCCTCCAGCACCTTCTTGCTTCGGCCCCTCTGAGCCTTGAGATGCCATGGGCGTGAGACAAGAGAGGGTCTCTGAGAGGGGAGGGAGCCCTCAACTCCTGTACATAGGTTAAAATGTAATAAACAAAAAATATCATAACGATTTTTGGGAAGCATTAAAGTATCTTGCTTAAAGCTTGGGTTCTTTTATGGCTGCAAACGTGACTTTGGTCTGAGGTTTTCCCTTTTCATTTTGGTAATGCTGGTTCATTTATATTGCTGCTTCTCTCTATACATGCATGTTTGTTGTGCAAAAGTATGAGATGCAGAGAAAGACAGCCACACATGACTTGCTTGTCACAGTGGGTATGACTCTTTCACTGAGGTGAAATGGCTTGCCATCTATGTTAACACTATAAAGGTCACATTACGACTCTTGCATGTGATACATAGGCACCAGTAAGAGTATATTAACTATTCTCACTTCTTATTTTCCACAAGTCTGAGCCCTTCTCTCAGAAAAAACGTACAAGTTTTGGAGCTGGTTGATCTGAATGCAACTTTTTTTATTATTATTGTTTTGCAAATTAAACCATCTGTAGCCTAACTGTAATATACCTAGTGGTTAACGTGAAAGAGTTGTAAAATATTGCTTTAAGTAACCTTGTAAATACTCCAGATAAATGTTATATTCTTGTATATAAACTTTACATCATAGTTTACCTGTTGTCTCAGTCTGCATTCACTTTAATCTGTTTTGGGAGAACTGGGAGAAAGCTGTCCAACTGGGCTTTGCCATGGCAAAGCAAAGTTTGGCCTTCCACTCCAAGTGGCCAGTAGAGAAGCATAAGGAAGTATCTAGTGCTGCAATCAACAAAAACCTAGTGGACCTAATTTCCCCAAAGGTGAACCATGAGACACGGGACTGAGGTTCAGTCACCACATTTTAACATGTGTCTGTTAGGTGCTTTGAGATGAAGAGTTTTCTGTGGCTCCTTTGTTGGACTGCCTACATTTTAATCTCTTCAGAAGTCTCTGCTGATGTGGAATTGAAATGAGACCACTTGCTTAAAAACCAAACCCATTTATCCATTTCTTACACTTGAAAAAGATATTGAGGAGTGCAAGAATAGACACAGGAAGATCTCGTTTGCAACTAGCAATTCAGATTAATGGCAGAGCAAGGCATGTTTTGTGTATATGTATACTCACTATTCTTACCGAGAAAGAAAATAAAACATACATAATAGTGTAACTGGAGGAATGTTTCTCAGCATTTTTTCTAAAAACATTTACTGATGCAGAGCATTACCTGCAAGAATTTTATTGTACTTATCCTGAAGAATAGTCTTGCTTCCCAGTGCTGTCACACAGAAAAAGTACCTCTTAGCTTCACTGAGAGTCCAATGTTCCCAAGGACAATGTTTCATGTTAACCATTCACAGGCAGAATACAAATCCAACACTAGATTTTTCCTTGAAGTAAAAAACAACATTAATTTCATATATTTCATGTTGGGTTTTTTTTCCCACCATCAGGATAAAAAGCTAAAATCTCAAGATCCATAATGTCACATTTGTTTTAGTAAAATTAATTGTTTGCCCTCTCCCAGAGTCTTAACGTGCTCACTACACCTGGTGCAAGCAATGGTAGCACTCTGACCAAGCAAGATAAGAGCACTCCTCGCAAATGTCCTCAAAAGTATAACAATAGCTGGTGGGGGTGGGTGGTGGGCAAAAAAAAAGCGCAACAAACCACAAAAAAAAAAGCGCCCTATTGCAAACTGCCCAAAATTAATTTTTTTGTGAAACAGCATCTTTATTTAAAGGCCAATATACTGCTGAAATGTCATTAAAACTGTTCTTCTGAATGGACCTGGACTCCCAGGAAATAATAGATTTTGAGTCTTTTCATGCCACAGTATAATTAAATACCAGCACTATGACCATCATCTTACAGAGCCGAAAAGCGCCCTATTGCAAACTGCCCAAAATTAATTTTTTTGTGAAACAGCATCTTTATTTAAAGGCCAATATACTGCTGAAATGTCATTAAAACTGTTCTTCTGAATGGACCTGGACTCCCAGGAAATAATAGATTTTGAGTCTTTTCATGCCACAGTATAATTAAATACCAGCACTATGACCATCATCTTACAGAGCCGTCAGTATTCAGCTCTACCCATCTCATTCAGTATATAATGTAATACCTGTCCCTGAACAGCCTTGGGTTTAGAGGAAACAAACTCACAGATATAGAGGAGCTGGCAGAAGATGAGCCTGGAGAAAATGGGCTTGTGCTGCCTGGTGGAGGAAAGCACTTTGAAGAGGCAATGCAGTTGTTGCAATGCAGTCTCTAGGGATAGAAGACAAACAGCCAGGAGTGCTGGACTCAGCCTGCCTTACAGATATATGAAGTCCTCCTACAGCAACCATAAAATTATCTTAATTGGACTGTCCTAGAAAGCAGCAGTACTGATGTTGATGAGGACAGACAGGTCACAAGTTACTCACTCTGGGGTCATTTTAAGGCCAAGACTACATAACAGATTTTTGCCAAATCACTTAAATTTATGAAGACACATTACGTATGACCAACATTATGTATGACCGACATTGCTCTGTCTTAAGAAAAAAAAAAATTCCTCTTCTTCCATCACAAAATAAACACCATTACACCAGCAAAATCCTGTTTCTGTCAAGACAAATTCAGGAGAAGAAGAATAAACTAGATTGGCAAAAATTCAATCTTACTAGTAGAATCAGTGTCCTGGATTAAAAGCATCCTGCCATACAGCATACCCCTACTGATAAAGCCTTTTTCATGTGGCCCTGGGCTGAATCACTAGGACTATCCACCTTCAGGGTGAATTGGCAGAGGCAGGATTACCTTCCAGATAAGGAGGATTTAGGCAAATATGGAGAGTAATGGGACTCATGTTTTCCCAGCTAACAGTGCTGTATTAAAAGACGGGTTATATTCACTTCACCAAGGAGAGGGAGTGTCAGTGTTTGTTATACTATATGTTTCCAAAGGTGTATAAAGCAGACACTGCAAACTATTCAACTGAAAATCAGGATTTTAAAGTCACAGCCTGAGGAAACAGCTTCTCTCAAATGCTGGCAAATAAGTAAACACATACATTTTTCACATTTTTACTCTTACTCGCTTAAAAATAACTGGAAATCTTCAACTGTGCCAGGCAAATAGTGAACCAAACACGTAATAAAAAGCTACCAGAGCCTGTTACTTCTGATCATTGTGTCACATACATACACTTCAGAGTAACGTTATTACCTGGTATGGTATGATTCAGCTGTAACTATTTATTTGTTTATTTATTTGTTGCAGTTGATGAAAAAAAGCAACCACTGTTGCATTTTTCAGACACTTTTTGTCTTCTTCTAATTAAAACAACATTGTTAGGCAGCCAATTATGTAGCTCCCATTGTATTTGCTTTCATAAAAACTATAAAAACAGTTGACTACAATGGATTAGTTTAAGGACGATCATAATGACACTTGACATTTATATAGAAGTTTCCATTTAAGTTCCTCAGATTGCCTTCACAAAAATAGGCATTAATTTCCCTCTTTTGTAGATCAAGAAAATGAGGCACAGTGAAGTGAAATAATTCATTCAAAACCACCCAGCAAGTCCCTTACAGTCATGAAAAGCAGCATATTTTTTGTCTCCAAGTTTTATGCTCCAATCACTAGCCCACATGTCACGGTTTAACCCCAGCTGGCAACTAAATACCAGCCAGCCACTCACTCACCCTCTGGGGTGTGGGATGGGGAGAAGAACCAGAAAAAAAAGGTAAAACCTGCAGGTTGAGATAAGAACAGTTAAATAATTTAAATAAATGTTATAGTAGTAAAATATTATTAATAATAATAATAGGAAAAAAGAGAAGTATCTAACACCAAGAAATACAAGTGATGCACAATACAATTGCTCATCACCTGCCAACTGATACCCAGCCCAACTCAAGCAGTAATCTGCCCTTCTGGGTAACTCTCCCTAGTTTCTGTACCAAGCATGACATGCTGTGGTATGGAATACCCTTTTGGCTAGTTTGGGCCAGGTGTCCTGTCTCTGACCTCCCTCCGTCCCTCCCTCAATCCCTCCCGGCTTCTTGTCCTGGCAGAACATGAGAGACTGAAAAGTCCTTAATGAGGGTAAGCTACTTAGCAACAACTAAAACATCAGTGTCTTATCAGTGTTGTTCTCAGACTAAAGCCAAAACATGGCACCATACAGCTACTAGGAAGCAAATTGGCTTCATCACAGTCAAAACCAGGACAGCATAGCTATTACAATAGTATATAATCAAGGCAGCACTTAAATTTTAATTTGAAAGCGAAACAGCAACCAAAGCTCCCTCCAACTTCTTCCCCATGAACGTGTAAAAAAAAAAAGACTGCCCAAATTCAAACTTAAAACCCGTCAGCAATATTCATCGCAGCCTTTTACTTTCTTCCTTATTTATTGTTCTCTTTATCCTTTAATTACTTCTTAATCCTTTTTTTTCTCCCTCACTTCTCATTCACTTCAGACACCCACAGAGAAGTCACTCAGCTTCTCTCACCCCTCTCAAACAGTCACTTTCACCCTCAGTATGGTTTATTAAAGAACTCATGCAGTATAACTACACACAAGCCACAAAAATCCTTATGACCAGCTTAAGACGTAAAAAGACCCATGTGGGAAATTCAGCAAGAGGCACTTAAATTTGATTAACAATTTTCTGTGAGGACAGGATGGTGGTTAGATTCCACAAGGAGCACCACGGACACATGCTGGTTGCCTCAGGCACAGCCACTACTCTTCTGCAGCAGCAGCAGCAGATGAAGGATATAGAAAGCATGAGAAACACACAGATAAAGTACACCTCTCCTTGCGTGGCCAGGTCTCAGACACATTTCAGTCCCATTGTTATAACTCCATGTTCCTCCACTGGGGCCATAGTGTGCCTCTCTCAGCCTTCTTCCAGATGTCTCACTACCCCTTTGCAACCATTGAGGGCATCAGCCAAGAGCACAGCCACTGTGCCTCGAGAACAGACTACTCATCATCCCTCAGGTACCTGCTGGGGCATGAGCAACCCCTGTGCAGCTGGCAGGGCAGCTCCTTTCTAACTGCTTCTATGGCCTGCTGCCATCCTTGCCAAACCCACCAGCCTTATGAG